CTCTCTCTCTCTCTCTCTCTCTCTCTCTCTCTCTCTCTCTCTCTCTCTCTCTCTCTCTCTCTCTCTCTCTCTCTCTCTCTCACACACACACACACGCGCGCGCGCGCGCGCGCGTAAAAAACCAAAAAAGAAATGATCTTCGCCTTGTTGCGGTTGTTGCTCGGGGTCTGAGATGTGCAGTCTGCCGGGATTGCAGATTTGGCATGAGCGAAGTTGAGCAGATCTTTGAGAATGGAAAAAAGCGGCGAACAGAACAGATACATTGAGTTGTCTCGAGGGTATCCATTGCTGACTTTAGGAAACTCGTTCTGCACAGAGGCACAGCTCCATCAGCACACCACAAACAAACTGCAATCGGATCCAGCTCGCTCACGGGCATCCGCTACTGACCTGGGGCAAACAATGATGCTAATAAATAGGCAGCACGTCGTAAATAGCATTTCCTAGTCTCCAAATGTAATCACGCATTTTGCTAACGAGATTGAACAATCCGAAGTGAGGCAATGTTTCAGGACTCGCTCCGTCTTGTCGTGTTCCTTTGCAGGCCTCGATCAGGCACATCCCAAACAAACTGACCAGGTTCAAACTTCCCTCATATCCCCGCCCCTCCCCCCCCTCTAGAGAGAAACTCTTACCGCAAAAAGATCAATGTGATAGAGCCTACTGATCAATCCCTGAGAAAAACTCAACGAAATGCCTTCTGGGCAGTTGTACTTCACAAACATGAGAGCACAAAGAACCTGCCGACGAAAGGCAATGCGACAAGGCGAAAAAAAACAAAAAAAAAGAGAAAAGGAGAAGAAATGAACACGAGAAGGAGAAAGGAGAAGAAATGAAGACGAGAAGCAGAAAGGAAGGAAATCGCTGTTAACCGTCAGCAAAGGAGAAGAAATGAAGACGAGAAGCGAAATTTTCTTACCAGCTCGATGTGTCTGAAACCCGTCAGCACTAACGTCTTCAGCAATTCGCAGCCAATGCCCCCAGCCCCAACCATCAGGACCTTGGCATCCTTGTGGACAAACAGAAGAAAATCACGCACAAAAATAGCATTCTGCTCACCTCAATCTTTTGGAACTTAAAAATTTGAGAGAAGATAATAGGACTTTAAAAAAATGCACTCAAACCAGCCACTGAGATACAGATGACGAGATGATTTCCCAGAGAAAATTCCCACTCAATGCGAGGGATGCTGTCACAGAGGGTAAGATCACCAGTGCCTTAAATCACCACTGCGTTTATTGTTCCGACCCAATTAACGCCCTGGGTAAAATAGACGCAATGCGAGGGATGGAGTCACAGAGGGTAAAATCGCAATGCGTATTTTGTTCCGACACAGCGGTTAACACGAATCAAAACCACACTAACGGAAAAGGCCTGCCGAACGGAAAAGGCTGGAGGCAAAGGCAAATTGAACTGGTGGTTTACTTAACAACAAGGGTACCTGACCGATGCTCTCTCTCTCTCTCTCTCTCTCTCTCTCTCTCTCTCTCTCTCTCTCTCTCTC